TGCAGGAACTTCAACAATGTCCTTCCGAAGGACATTGGGGAAGTTCTCTCACTAAATATTCATGGAAGGAAGGACTCCTTTCGAGTGACTTCATTCTCTATAACACAACGTCCACCCCCGACATCCCCTCACCTCACACACATCAGCCCTCATGCTGTTACATCAGAGAAGTAGTATGTATGTGTATATGCTTGTAATTCAATGTACACTACTACTAAAGTACAGTATATCACTAGCTACTGTACTATATACCGTATACAATGGCTGTTTCTACATAATATGCACAGCACAATACTGGCATCCATACAAGGAATTTTCTTTAACATTTTATCATGCTTAAAAATATTTACTTGTTCCGGGGTCTCAGAGAGGGCAGGTCACAATATGTTAACTTTAATTTATGTATCATATCAAACAACATAAGATAAGAGAATGATATACTGCACAGCATAGCATTCAGGGATTGCTATACTAATTAATTTCTAAAATTATTCATTGGTCTAACTCTCAATGCAGGTCAAATGGTTTTCAAATCCTCTCCTCTAACAGCCCCCAATGTAAATATAACTAAAGTACGCTTTTTCTCAGCTGAGAAGAGATGCCCCGCCCACTCCTCAAAAGTTACAGCTGATTGGCTATTGCAAATCTGTCCGATTTTGTCCTGAAGTAATGATGTAGTATTTTTAAATGAGTTTATTCATAATCGTTGGAATGACCGTTTCTGACGAGAAAGATATTTAGCTAAATTATATAACGATACAAACATTCATTAATTCAAACATAAGCACGTAGGAAATTTATCAGAAGTATTATACATGAATTAACTGTTAAACTCTGGTAGTAAATTCCCGCTTTCAGAGGATGCATTTAATATATACTTATTTTTACCCACAATAAGGCATACTATGACAAATTACATATCAGTAATACTACATTATGCAAAAACTAACATTCTAAAATATCAGAATCACATTGAAATATTACACGGATGTTAGCAGAGGCGGGAAAAATATTAAGTTGTTCGCAGTCATATTTCCCGCCTCTGCTAACATCCGTGTAATATTTCAATGTGATTCTGATATTTTAGAATGTTAGTTTTTGCATAATGTAGTATTACTGATATGTAATTTGTCTTACTATGCCTTATTGTGGCTAAAAATAAGTACAGTACTACAATATATATTAAAGGCATCCTCCGAAAGCGTGAATTTGCTACCAGAGTGTATTAGCACCTTAGTCTTTATAAAAAAATTTTACAGGGATTAGTCCACCCGGGCACAGGTCACTGACCCACATCAGGGCCTGGAGAGCAAAGATGTAATAATAATAATAATAAAAATAATAATAATAATAATAATAATAATAATAATAATAATAATAATAATAATAATAATAAAAATAATAATAATAATAATAATAATAATAATAATAATAATAATAATAAAAATAAAAATAATAATAATAATAATAATTAATATAAATAATAAATCATAATAAATAAAATTTATACAGTACTAAAAATAAATAAACAAATAAAAATAAAATAATGATAATAATAACACTAATAATAATAATAATAATAATAATAATAATAATAATAATAATAATAATAATAATAAAGAACTATAAAGAAATACAAAAATTAAATAAAGATTAAGAGTGAGAAACAATATACTGTATGTTGTGTTGTCAATGGTAAGAGAAACAATTGAGACCCTGCAATTGTGTGTAAATGAGGCAGAAAGTCAGATCAGCAACCTGGAACTTGGTCAAATTTTTTGTGATGCCATATGGCAGCAGGGTCTATCATTAGACAATACATGTGGGGTAATACATTAAGCTAATATAATCATATCACCCCCTGTATATTTTCACTAGCTATGAGGTGACACGGTCACATCACGTGATGGGTAAGTTCCACCTTTGAGGTGGGGCCCTAAAATGCTCGGTCAGATATTACAAACTGGCTAGCCTGGGCATTATCACTCCAACTCTCACACAAACCAGACACATTTAGTTGAGCTAATCTAAGATAGCCTCAGTCCTTATTTAACACTCATAGCGACAGTGGTTAAATTACGGTGATATACACTTGGAACTGTATATAATATATTTTCCTAAATAAAAGAAGAAAAGGACAAGTTGGGTTTTGCTACTAAAACCCAATAAACTTTCACATGTTCCAAATCCATTAACTCATCAAGAATCAATGGTTAAGGGCCAGAACAAGAGTTTAACAGTTAATTCATGTATAATACTTCTGATAAACTTCCTACGTGTTTATGTTTGAAATAATGAATGTAATGTATCTTTTTTATAATTTAGCTAAATATCTTTCTCGTCAGAAATGGTCATTCCAAAGATTATGAATAAACTCATTTAGAAATACATCATTACTTCAAGATGAAATCGGACAGGTTTGCAACAGCCAATCAGCTGTAACTCTTGAGAAGTGGGAAAAAATGCACTACAGGTATAACCATTACACGTGTGGCCCATTGGAATTAAAAACCATCATAAGAACTGGGCTTATTCGGATTGGGACCCTTTTCACTAGTATCACATTATCATCTTATTTCAACACCAATAACAAGAGATATACAGGTAGTGTATTAACTTTCATTATTTGTTTTAGCTAAAAATGGTATACCTTAAATGCCAAAGCTTTTCACATCTCATCTACATTGAATACAAAATAATGAATCATAAGAAATTCAAAGTACTATACTGTACAGTAAACCCACTCAATAGGGGATACAGTATTCCCAATGAGGGACATCTTTTGGTCTGGTACAATATAATTAGCAAACTCAGCAGGTAAAATCTGTCGGGATTTACAGATCTCCTAATGACCTAGCCACCATTAGGTCTAATTATTATTTAAGGGGACTGATTAGCCCAAATCTAACTTGAAAACAGAACAATGAAACTAAAGCCTAGACACCTAGCAGTTGGCTAAACTCAAACTGGATCAACAGCAAGTGGTAAATAACTCACACTTGCTAAATGAAAATACCACTTAGAATTGTGTGCCATTAGCCAATATTTGTTTCAAGTCCTGTGAATTAGAGGAAAACTGCACATAATTCCTGATATGAAACACTGCCAAGCAGGTAGGTGTCTGCCCAACTTGGTAAAGCAGCTGAAACTGAGACTAAGACTAAAATGATGGTTCATGACTGAGCCTATGACAGGTGTCATGCAAACAAGCCAATGTGGCATCTTAATAAGTAGCCTTCTACCTTAGATGGTGCGGGTATTCTCAAAATAGTTCTTTTTAGATTCTGTTATGCTGGGTGGTATAACTAATTAGTGAATCGGTCCTTACCCTTAATGTTTAGGGCTGACCTGATATTAAAACCATAAAATTTATGGGTAAATACTGTACAGTGCATGAATCACCTGGTCTAGACTTTGTCACTAATGGGATTTCATCATCCCACTGTGTCATAATCTTAACTTATTTAAAAGTAAAAACAGTGACGGGATCCTGGCTTCATGCTGGATTCCTGGACACTCATGATGTGTTCAGTGGAAAAAAAATTCAGGACACCTCAAAATTTTAGGCAACCTAATCCTCTGCACATCTAATTTACCATAATTACTGTACAACCCCACAACTGTATACTTTTCCATGATTCCTCAGTAGACTGATTCCTCTTAGTTTGTCCACTCTTTCTTACTGCTTTTTCCTTATACAGCACAGTACACCAGATACTCTTTGCGATACCCTCTACTCCACTATATTCTATTCACAAAGCAGTATTCTAGAATTTCTGCTCCCAGATTCAGCTACTGTACTGTAATGTACAGTATTTGTTCTTCCCTTACCTCCCAACCATTCATTCCTTCCCAAAAAATTTTCTCTCCCATTTCCCACACTCCTCCCAGCAGATATATCTCTCAAATTTGTATTAAATGTAGCCAATGTCCGGAAAATCCCAAATGATGTACAGTACTGTATATCTCTTCTTCTCTGCTACTTCATTTCTCATACAGTATTTACAAGAGATGTACCTATTATTCTAACATCCTTTCTGACGACTGCCTGTGCTCTTGTACCGTCTTTTGGGTAGTGTTGCCCCCACTCTTGAGAGCATCAGACATAGTAAAAGTCCTTAAGACTGTGGGGTCATACTTGGATATCAGCCAATATTGGTACACTCCTCATCATTGGGACTGAAATGTATTTTTATACTCACTTTCTATACAGTACAGTACATATATAAATTACAGTACAGTGGTCCCTCAGTTAGCGAGCACAAACCATTCTAGAAGGTTGCTCAACCGAAAAACTCGTTAACCGAAACCATTGTTTCAATGGGTTTTTGGGCAATTGGTTCTAGTTCACCGAAAATTGCCTAAAATCAACAAAAAAGGTAGTAAAGTACACTTACTTTCAGGTGTGTATGTAGAAGGCTCCTGGATGATGATGATGATGGGAATTAGAATGGGGGTGGAGGAGAAGGGAGAAGAGAAGGCATTAGGGTGGAAGAGAAGTCACCCCATGGTGCCATTTCACCCATAAAATTTTAGTTCTCTTGGTGTAATTCAAGATTATTTTCTTTAAATCAACACTGCACTGCATTATATATTGTCAATATGTAAAATAAATTTAAAAATGACCAACAATTTGCTTGGAAACAGAAAAAAAGCATTTAGTTAAAGAGATTCTCAAGCAAGATGTTACTTCCACTGAAAAGACAGAGAGATTGGCGCCTGTTTGGTGTGTTGACAGGCTGGATGGCACGCATAAAACTAGTTTCCTTACCTTCAATTATGTTCAATAATTGTTAAAATGACTAAAAAATTTAATATTAAACTTTTAAAATTATTGAATAGTATAAACTTCTTGATATTTACTAAAATGGTAAGGAATATAAGCCCTAGAACAGATTACTGTATTGGCGGACTAATACTACAGCTGGTGGACCGCCAAATGCAAGCTAAAAACATGTTGATGTCGTCAGAAGAAACTCGTTAATCGAGGGATTGCTCGTTAACCGAAGTTAAGAATCTTATGGAAGGTAACTCTTTAACCAAAATCTCGTTAACCGAGGGACCACTGTACTGTATAAAGTATGCTTATCTTACTCTCTGCCTTACATAAACTTATAATGCCAAGAGAAATTTTACCTGAAATACTTATAATTAACTACTGCACACATAAAAATAAATCTAAATAGTAAAGTATTTGAAAACAAAGATATAATTTAAATATTTCACATATAATTCAGTAATACAAAAATCTATTTTCTCCTTTAAATTATTAAATAAAAGAGAAAGTGTTCAATAAAAAATGGTGAGATCTAATTTAAAACACAACTACAAGAGCTCGATTTCTATTTGTGAGTACAGTACGTAGTGCTAACTATAACAGTTCCCTCCTCCTACAGCAGAAGGACATACTGTACAGTACTAATGAGGCCACAAAGACAAGGTAGGGTGGGGCCTAGTTAATGCTCTTTCAACACTAACCCAAAAAAGTGCTGTAAAATTTGTTCCATATTATTAATACAGGTGTACAGTAATTTCTTTTACCAACAATCTTCAAAGCTTACATGGTTATGGCTGTGCCCTAAAATAAATCTTTCACTTGGTTATGATACTGTAACTGCACAGAGCATTGTAATTTTTAATTTGACTGTATTATACTTTTGATATTGGATAACTTTTGCACTGTAGCATGACATACTTATACACTGTACAGGATTTAAAATACTTGATATTTCTATCCACCAAAGTGAACTACTGTACAGAATCAGTGAACACTCTGTCAGAGAGAAGAGTCCAATATTCTTTCATTCATGCATTTTCCATGGAAGATTTCCTCACTTTGCATTTCATTTTATACTTGACCAATTGTTAAGCTTCCTATAATAATGCTAAATTTAGTAGCTTCTACTGTACATATATTTCATCAATAATTTGGGATCTCAGTTCATATCTAAATAAAGGTAAACAACCTCTATGCAGACTTCATGTATATATTACTGTACTTACTTAACTTCTCACTCTTCAGGGCTTGTAGGACACTTCAAACTCTTTCTTCTTGAATTTTCAACCCACAACTTGTACCTTTTCAATGCTAACCACATCAAGTGCAGATTCCAGACATCAAAATAAACTAGTATTAACTCCCAGTTTTACATCATCCACACTAGCATTAAGTTCATTAACTACATCAAAATTGCCCCACACTTTTTCCTCATGTGCACCTTTATCATCTACCTTCTGCTTCTCCTCCTCCATATTCCACAAAGGCAATTTACCCATCTTCTTGGTTCTTTATTGATCACATCTTACAAAATCTGAGTTACCCGATGAGTGTACAGTATTAGTAGGCGTGAGTTTATATAAACTATAAAAAAAATGATCATGGTGACTGATTTCTTTACTGTTATTAATCAACAACAAAACACAACTACTGGTTCACTTGTTTAAAAGTTTTGATGTTAGAAATTTCTCCTCAGTTTCAATTTCCACTCCACTTCAGAAATGACTACACCTATAGTATTTTATTTTTATGTCTCAGTTACAAGACCTTTGGTTATGTTTTGTAGTCAATATGTAAGAAGTAGCACAGTTTTCCAAGAACAGAAGTCATTGTCTGGAACTAGTGACTGTAGTCGGGTAATACTGTACCATACATGCAGTTATGAAAACGATCATGATGTTTACCGTAACTCAGCTTAAACAACTCTCACATAAATCTTTTTTAGCTTGTCGGGTGTTACTATTCTCTATGTATACTGTAGTTACTGCTTATAATAATATTTTTCATTTCAGAGACTTGTCAGTTAATAAAAGTATTTAGCTACCAATTGTTGCACTTTGTGTTGTGTATCTACGGTATATTGTGTTCTTACTTTTCACAGTGCACAAAGAAAGAGAAAGCTTTTTATATTAATTCAGCCTAATAGAAACTATTAGTTTCACTATTTCATAACAAGTATTAGCAACTACCCTTTTGATGATTTCTTAAGATATGACTTTCTAAAGCACTTTTCTGTAGCACGGTAGGGACACTCGGTACACGAATATGGTTTTTCTCCTGTGTGAACACGTATATGAGGTTTCAAATGTGCTTTTTGAGAAAATAAAGCTGGACAGTATGGGCAAGCAAATGGCTTTTCTCCAGTGTGAACTCGAGTATGATTTAATAGGTTTATTTTTTTATATGTGGAGTATTGACAATAAGAACAATGATGTGTCTTGATGCCGCTTCCTCTTCCTACCGGGTTCTGTTGAGCCATCTTTGACTCCACCTGTGGTGAGGGATAGCATCCTTAAATTCCTAAACGTATAGCATAAGAATAATTATAGCATGACATAAAAAGTGTTAGGAAGTAGCTATACTGTAATACAGTATATACATACCACACACACACTTTAATTAATTTCCATCTTCCTGGGACAATTACAGTAAACATACAACCTTCAGCCTATGAAGGCTACAACAGTGAAACTACTATACAGTATTTAACATCAGATGACAGAGCAACATAACATAATCTATTCTAAAATTAAGTTAGGAAATAACAATATGGATAGAACGTACAGTATGTATGTTGTTGATTAAACAACAAGTGGAAATCAGCATGCAGTATTGTACAGGTGAGCAAGAGCTACAGTATCAGTGGAAAAATCCATCCAATAAGTTTTTCTGAGGTGTCAATTCCATTGCAGGTCAAGGCTAATCCCATCACACTTATAGTAATAAAAAAAACAAAAAACAGAACTGTAAGAAATGAGTGAAAAGAGAGGTGAATAACTGGGCAAGAAGCAACAATATCCATTAATACCTTGTACAATAGTGTACAGTACCTCCTGTACGAGTGGCACGAGGATGTAATCTGACGGGACAGAGGAAGATGTAATACTTGAGACAGAAAATTATTATGTAGACGGGTGAGAGAAGATGAGGAAGATTGATAGAGGCACAACAGGAAGTTGTCTAATCAAATTAAATCAAATTCTTACCAGGTACAATACATTAGTTAATTTCTAAAACTTTCAATCATTAGTGACACTGTACTGTACTTTAGCATGCATCACATTTCCTAGCGCATTAACATCTTGACACTTATAGTCATATCGCTCACATATAGCTACACATTAATAATGCTTCTCACTCCAAGTTTAACTGAGTGACTAATGCATGAAAATTATGATGGATTATGTGCTCCTTCATTTAAGTTTACCAATTTCAAGTAAATTCTTTTGAATGTAAATTTATAATTTCATAGCAAATTCCAACATGTGGAGAAGCCAAAGAGAGCAACACTGTGAAATACTTTATCATCTATTCATGAGCACAGAAGTCTTTTTTGTTAGTAAAGGAAGATCATCTAGGTTAATATGGAGTGCTTTTTTTTTTAAAGAAGTCAATTTGTGCACATACAGTATATCCCAAATTCACTGCACCTTCACTGCTATATGCCCAAGTTAGTTTCTCTTATGTCCTCCTGGAGTATACTGTACTGAACAAGCCAGCCTAAACACATTTTGAATGAAACCAAATAAATAATCATCTAGAATCAAACGAGGCATTACCTCAAAGGCTTTGGATTGCATAGGTTCAACCTTGGAATGGTTAAACTCTTACTGTCATGGGTGGAGTCCTAGCAAAAACAATCTGATTACAGTGTAATGGGAAGAAGTTAAACACTAAAATCTCCCTACAAGTCTATGCCTAATGTGTTTACAGACAGTTGTTTACATGAATGTTTCTTTTACATATACTTTTTGGGTAAAGAACAGCCATAGATAATTTCCTGAAGCTGTTAAATAACTCAGTTCCTGGACTGTGACACTAACTAGGTGTGCTTTACTTTCTTTCTCTATTTTATTTTCATATTCTCATTGAATGATGAATCACGTATTGTTAAGTAGAAGGAACCAAGAAACAGCATCGGGCAAAAAAAAAAAAAAACCCTACTACGTACTGTACAGTAAGTCCCTGTTTAACGTCGGCCCACTTAACGTTGTTTCGGTACTACGTCGTTAAACTTTAAGAGACCAAAAATTCGTTTAACGTCCCGGTGACTCGGTACAACGTCGTTTCAGTCTTCACGGACTACTTTTTACCTTTTTCATAATATGTATTAAGGATGGTGTGTGCATGTAAATGATTCAAAATAAATGAAGAAAGTGACTATATCTACCAAAAAATAAGTTGAAAAAATATGTACAGTGGTCCCTCGGTTAACGAACACAATTTGTTCCAGAAGGTCGTTCGTTAACCGAAAATTTCGTTAACCAAATCCACTGTTTCAATGGGATATTGGGTAATTGGTTCCAGCTCACAGGAAAGTACATACAAGGTAAAAAAAAAATGCAGTAAAGTACACTTACTTTGAGGTGTGTATGTAGAAGGCTCCTGGTTGATAATGATGACAGGAATTAGAAGTGGGGGTGGAGGAGAAGGGAGAAGAGAAGGAAGTGGGGATGGAGGAGAAATCACCTTTCAGGGGACCCATGCTTGATGCCGTCATTTCAGCAATAAAATTTTAAGTTCACTGGGTGTAATTCAAGATTATTTCATTTAAATCAACACTGCACTGCGCTATATATTATCAATATGTTAACTTAAGTTCAGAATGACCAATAATTTCAATGAAAAATGCAAAAATATTCAAGACACCAACAAACTGGTCGCTCTCTCGACAGTAAACAAAGCCAGATTGAGCCTGTAGTGCATATGTATTATCAATATGATAATAATAAATGTTAAAATGACTAATAATTTTCATATAAAACATTAAAAAATATTAAATAGCTTAACTTCTTCATATTTACTCCATTGGAAATGAATGTAAACATAGAACAGATTACTGAATTGGCAGACTGGGCCATCAGCTGATGCTCACAACAGAACGTGATTTTCGTGTATATTTCGTTAAAAAAAATTTTTCTGGTAAACCAAATTGAAGATTCTTATGGAAGGTAATTTGTTAACCGAAGGACCACTGTACAGTACTTAAATGTACTTAAGGGACTAAAATTTTAATATCTTAGCTAAAATATATGATGTGTATATTCATATTATTCGCTGTCTTGCAAGGATTTTAGCAATGTAAGTTATATTCTACTAACTTTAGTCTGTGCCATTTTATAATATAAAAAATTTAAGCCTAACCGACCTTCAATCTTGCCGGAAGTGCGGAGGGGGAGGTGATGTATTATGACGGCTGGCGCCAGCCCACCAAGGTTACCTAGTGGTATTTATTTATCTGTCCTGGAGAGGAGTTTTAAGTTTTTCTCTTATAAAATCTCAATGAATGTGACTTTATAGTAATGCATACAAGCACCTCACCAGGCATCACACAAGGAGCTTTGAATTTATGTAGTTTATGTAATGTATTTCAAGGGCAAAAGGGAGGCTCAGGAATGTAACTCCCATATTTTATCTATTTCTTATGGGGAAAATTGATCCGCTTTACGTTGTTTCCTATAATGTTGCATTTCCATGAACGTCACCCTGATGTTAAGTGAGGACTTACTGTACTGTAATACTGTACTTATTTCTCACCCACTTGAAGACTGTACCTAAGTGTCAGGACTGTTCCCAAACTGTGCCAGACTCTCTGGGGTTGTGGTCACCCTGTCAGTCTATAGTATACAGTAATGTATTTCAGTGTTATTCACTTGTGGAATTTCTAAACTTTCTCACATAAGTGATTGACACAGAAAAATACAGATTAAAATACCTGGAGCTTTAATGGTGTTTTTATTTGTGTGCTTATGTAAATATGAAGATATTCTTTACTAAAGTCAGGTTATATGGGAATTTGTGGAATGGGAGACTGTTTCAGTACCGACAATTGTGTTGTGCCTGATAATAGTTGCACTCACTACCAGTACTTGGGCCAAAATGTAGTGGCACTACCGCTAATTTTTAATAAACATTCAATAATGGAATAAGAATTCTTATTAATGCGTATACAGTACAGGTATAACACCAACTAGCATAAATATACCTAACTGTGAAACATATTCAGGAACTAAGTTGATGCCTTCAGTTAGGGAAAGCTACAAGGACTAGAAAGTTCAGCTCAGGCACTACATACAAGGAATTGTCTGTCAGTAGAGAAATTGAATTCAGTAGTAGTAGTTTCACCCAAGACCCAAGGGGACCATACTACATGTAATTATAAGAAATGTAGAGCCACATGGATTACTAAGATAGATCCTCATGTGGCTTCCATAATTCATGGCAGCTGTTTCTCAAATAACCTATTTTCACCAAAAACCTGTTCATATATATATATATATATATATATATATATATATATATATATATATATATATATATATATATATATATATATATATATATATATATATATATATATATATATATATATATATATATATATATATATATATATATATATATATATATCATGTAAATCACAATGAAAACGTGATAAGATAAATCTTGATAAATCACACGGGAAAATGGAAACAAGTACCTTAGCTTTCGTCTTTATTCAAGACATCTTCAGAGGCAACTAGATTACATGGACAGAGAGAGGCTTAAATATACAGGGTGACCTAAAAACATGAGGTCAGGTCATAATGATGACATCCACTAATCCCCACACCAACACAACCGTGGGAGCTTAAGAAGGGTGGTGACGTGACTAGACAGGTCAGGTCAGAAAAAAAGGGACCCACAAAATAACTGTCATACATCAAGATCAAAGGTTTCAAAGCAGTTTTAACCTTGGGCCTTAGTGATGAAAGCACGATGAGAACATTAAAGATCCCTGGAAAATATTAATAAGTTATCTAATTCCAAAATGAAGATGTTATTGAAAAAGAACCCGATCTCACTAAACAGCTCTCTCAAATCAATCCCTTTTACCTTATATGTATGGATTGATCAAAACACTAAGCTTAATAATCCATTACGTCCTATCGTGAGTT